GAGCTGGACTTTTTTGGATAACTTTAAGACTGCTGTGTTTCTGAAAAGGAGAGTGTGAAATTCAACATGACTCTTTTTGATTGATAAATTTACTCCTAATCGCCACTTTGACCGACTTTGATTTTGGTTTATTCTCATGAGCGGGAAATTTGAATTTACTGATTCCGTTCTAAATTATTAACAATAATTTCCCTCCCTCAAGTTGATTTTAACTTCTGTAACAAGCTTAGCTTATCCTGAAGCTTTAGTTCTTGCCCTGTCTATTGGTTTATTCTCAATTATTCAATCCAGATTTTCTACATATTCCAAGGGAAAATATACCCAACTTTTCTAAAAAATGTATCCAAAGAAATTATGCAACATTGGAATAGTCACACGTCGTTTTTCTTCAGCACGTAGTAGTGTAGCCCTCTCGTTTTTCATACTCATTACCCGCAGCGCGCCTAATGGGCCCGTTTAGCGGGGAATAGCCCCGATTTCCAACCGAGGGTGAAAAAACACCTTCACGCTGCACCCCGTCATTTTCTGCAAAAGCCTCCCCCGCATCCCCTCACCCCCTCAACCCCTCACTCCCCCACCCTCAGCGAGTGTTTTTCCCGGGTATATCAGTCATGTAGACCAGGACGAGTCGGGGGAAATTAATGATGTCACTGCCCCACAGCGCCGTCAGATGACAGTTTGAAAAGTTTGTTAATTTTCTTCTTCTTCTTTTTTTTTAATACCTGGCGTCCCGGACAAGTGTAAAAGTTGAGTGGTGGTGTTTCGTATCATTTTTCAATCGATGCGGTCCGCATTTCAGCGCAGCTAGCTGGAGTTGGAAGGGGAGGGGGTGTCGGTTAACGTATGTAAATGGGAGGAGGATGAAGTGTCGCAGGTGAATAAATGAACGAGTCAAGATTCGTATAAACAAGCGGATGATAAATATGTGAATTGGTGAGCGAATGTTGACCGTTAATGGCGCTGAAGTGTTTGGAGACTATTTTTATTGCGATTTTTGGCACTTTGATACGGTGTGAATTTGCCCTAATTTCACAATAATAAATTGGAGGGCAGAGAAATTCAAATTCTATCGGAAATTAGGAAAGTTGCGGCTTTAAACAAATCTTCGATTTCAGAACTAGCCGCAATATTTTTAAAAAAACAACTCTCCCAACTTGTCCAAACTTTCTTTCCTCCGTGAGATGGCAAGATATCGGAAAGATTCTTCGAATTTTTACATGGTTGTCCAAGCCACGTAAAGCCGCGAAATAGTGCAAGGCAAAAATTAAACGCTGCCATGAGGACGATAGCCACAGGCAGAGGAAACCTCGAGCGCTGGAAAAAGTCAGCGGAAAATGTGGGTCACGGAAAAACCGAGAAAATTTGAGGGTAAAGAGAAAACAAGTGAGCCAAAATTCGGGGAAAATTGCATTCACAGAAATGAGGAGTCTTTACGAGTCGCATCACATGCTTTCAGCTTGTCTGTTTGCCAGATCGGTAAATATTAAAATGGCAATCCGTCAATTGTCATCGTCTTAAAAGCCAGGGAATTTTGATCAAAATTTATTAGGGTCAACTTGGAAAAAAGTTAGGAAATTCCTATCCTGTATTTCTGGGGCCACCAATAATACCTACAGTGCAATATTCGTCCCCACGCCAAGCTTAGGATACAGACAACTCAAGCTTATGCCATGTGTCATCATGTTTGTTGGTTTTTGACCCGAAAAAAAGTGATGCTGATTTAACATTCTGGATGTAAAAAAGTTAGTTTTATATCTTGAAATTGTTAAAGTAACTGCTGTAACGGTTAATTCAGCGTTTTGTTAGTTCTCTCACACTTTTTTACATCCAGAATGTTAAATTTGCATCATTTTTTTTCGGTGTGTGTTTACTCGTGAATATTTGAACAGAGTTCAACAAAAACGCATAAATTTTGAACCGGAAAACACTATATTTCACGGACTATACTGTACTTTTCGGAACTATATTTTCACGTTCAAAAGACCTTTTCGCTACTTTGAATTTTCGACAGAAGAAAATGTATGACTGGTTAAAATCAAAACTACTTTCAACTGCCCTTCTCCCAAGGGCGACTTGGTTCGTTGCTGCTAAATTCGGTCGATTTTCTCGCCGGGTTATTCACTCTCTGAATAAAAATATGTTGGCGTAAACGCAAAAATCCTCGTTTTCTTGTTAAACTTGGCACGAGACAAGGAAGGAACTGGACTGTTGCGTTCATGCAGAGTGGCAATAAGAAGTCCGGGCGGCGAATAGGATTTTTACATCGCGTCGCGACATTCCAGTCGCGGGTGATAGCATTGTAAGGGGATGAAGTAGCATGAAGGAGCCGTGCAACTTGGTGTAGATCGTTATTAAAGTTGTAAACACCGAGAAGCAAATTGCCAAGTCGTCCCAAGCCCCACTAAAAGGTTCATTATTGAGTTTTCTATCTGCTTCAGAATGAAGCAAACGCAAAATCTACCCTCGGGTTCGTTGTGTCGTTCGCTATGAATATAGCAGCAGAAATGGTATCGTATGGAGGAATGGAAAGGAGGGCTGCTGATACGTCATGTATTACAGCATGTTTTGAGTTTGGACACTTTATATTTTCTCCGCAAATGCTCAAAAAAACCATTTAAGCTGACTTCGTCTTATGAATGTTTAAATTCACCCATAAATGAGGGCTTAAATGGGGGGCGGGGGAGGTATATGGGCCTTTTTTTGGTTCACCCTGGATTTCTTCAGTTCTGCGATTTTTTACTCAATATTTTACGGAATTCGTCATGATTTGGTCATTTTCGGTCTCGTTTGGGTTTAATTTCGGCCTAAACATGTATCTGAAGGCCAATTTTGGCGAAAAAAGTGGGTTTGCTGTCAAATGTCGGAAAACCGGCTTTCTTCATCAAAATGAACCCTCTGACCCATGATTAGGCCGGTATCCGACCCGAAAAGAGATCAGAAATGACCAAATCCTGATAAATTCGGTAACATATAGGCCTTAAATTAGCGAATCAGGCAATATTTTCGGTCTGATTGGGCTTTTACCAAAATGAACCCTCTGACCCATGCTTAGGCCAGTAGCCGACCCGAAGAGGGATCAGAAATGACTACATCCTGATACATTCGATAAAATATATAGGCCTAAAATTAGCAAAATTTTCGGTTTGATAGGGTTGCTCCCCCGTTGAGCCGACGGACTCGTTGTCACTTTCCAGGAAACTTCGCGGGAATTTCTATTCATTAAATCCACATTTATGAAGCACGATCCGGCATCGTGGTTTATCAGGGCCCGATTTCGCGAAAGTGTATAAAAAGCCCCAGCATAATTACAAAGCACATCGGCCGGCTCCAACAATGAGCGGTGTGTTCGTGGCATAAAAATGTATCCGGAAAAGGCCCCCCACTCCCGCCCCCGAAAGCGCGGGGGGGTTTTTAATGCAGTAAAAAATATAAAACCGGCGGAGAGCGGTAATAAAGTGTATTATTTATGGGCGGGCGCCCCGCTCCGCGCCCCTCCCGTCGGCCCTTTTAAACAGCGTTTCCGAAGCCGTAAAGTTGGTAATACATCATTCCCCGACCGTCTTGCGGGGCCCCGACCCGAAATTGATTGGGAATTAATCAATTTCCAGGGCTCTTTTCCACGGCCCCGGGTCTCGACCCTGGT